AAAAAAAAAAGACTGCCTAAGAATATGCAGATAATTCAAATCAAAAAGCTAACTTTCTTGGCTATAATTTATGGGTACAACTCTTCGTTGTGATCTTCACTAAAGAAGACTTTTCTGGAAATTGTTACTCTGCTCTTCCTGGCAGCCCTTGGTCAAGTGGCTGATTTATTATTTTAGATGGTTTTGACATGACTTGGAAGGTAGAAGTACCATTTTTTGTATGTATTTATTTGCAGAGAACCCATGGGCCTTCGCCCATTTCTGTCCCTACAGTTGGATTTGCTTTCATTTAAATGCTAAACATCTCAGTGGCAGTCAGGCATTGGGAACACTAGAAGGAATGATGCATCAAAACAGGTGGTTCCACTTAGTGTGATATGGGGTCTGTCCACATCGTGGAGGAAATGGAGTGGTAGATACCCATTTGTGAAAGGAACACAATGAAGCTACATAATTCCTCTTGTAGGTAGGTTGGTTCTGTAAGCAAGCCTTAAAATTGACATTGACATTGAATCACTGCCCACAAAGGGAGAATGAGAAGCTACTTCAAATCTGCCTCTAACAAACCATCCATAGCTTAATGCAATGGCCAGTGAGGCCAGTCCTCCAAATGTTCAAATGGGATTCAGATATTTACTAGGCATACTACAGGCAGATTTTTTAATTGAATGAGTGACATGCAACATTGGGGATATAAATTTAACATAAAATATTAAATTTAAACCAGGCATACTGCTCAAATACAGAAAGCAAGCAGATATGGAAGCATAATTTAAGTGTGGCATTGAAATTGTTTTGCTATTTCAATTTGGTCATTTAGCTTTTGGGATCAGATGACAGGATATATTAAAAATTTTGTCTAATTTTTATTTCTGATAAAATGCATATAACAAAATTTACCATTTTAACCATTTTTAAGTATAAATTTTAATAGCGTTAAGTATATTCACATTGCTATATAAACAATCTCCAGAACTTTTTCATCTTGCAAAACTGCAATTCTATACCCATTGCACAATTTCTGTCCCCCAGCCCTTGGCAATCACCATTCTACTTTCTGTTTCTATGAGTTTTACTACCCTTGATACCTCATATAAGGGGAATCATACAGTAATTATCTTTTTGTGACTGGCTTATTTCAATTAGCACGATGTCCTCAAGGTTCATCCTATTGTTACCTGTAGTAGAATTCCCTTCCTTTTTAAGATTGAGTAATATTCCATCATATGCATGTACATTTTTTTTAATCCATCCACCCAAAGATGGATATTTGGATGCTTTCTCTCTTGGCTATTGCGAACAACGCTGCCATAAACAGGGGTGTAAAAATATCTCTTTGAGGCTCTGCATTCATTTCTTTTGGATATGTACCCAGAAGTGGTAATGCTGGAATCATACGATGCTTCTATTTTTAAATGAATAAATTCACCTCTCCTGCCTTTTTTTCTTAAACCATTTTTTAAAAAGATTTTTATTTATTTATTTGGAGAGAGAGAGTACAAGCAGAGGGAGTGGCAGGTAGAGAGAGAGAGAGAGAGAGAGAGAGAGAGAGAGAGAAGCAGACTCCCCGCTGAGCAGAGAGCTTGATGTGGGGCTTATCCCAGGACCCTGGGATCATGACCTGAGCCGAAGGCAGACGCTTACCTGACTGAGCCACCCAGGCGCCCCTCTCTTGCCTTTTTTTAAAAGCAAGAAGCTAAATTTTGGCCCGGATAGGGTATGAAACTCATCAGAGATTAAACAAGGAGTAACCAGTAAATCCAGGGCTTGAAACATCTGTCGAACTCCAAACTCAGGATCTTTGATCTGTACTAGAGTTTTTCCAACTAGGTTCTTTGGAGCACTGGGATGGTTCAGGCCATCTTTGGGGGCTGGAGTGGGTTTGGGGGTGTATTCCTTTTCTAAGGCTGCTGTAACAAAATGTTACAAACTGGGTGGCTTACAACGACCAAAATTTATCATCTCAGTTCCAGTTCTGGAGGCTAGAAATCCAAAATCAAAGTGTTGGCAGGGCCATGCTCCCTCTAACACGTCTAGGGGAGGATCCTTAGTTGCCTCTTGCAGTTTCTTGCAGCCCTAGACATTCCTTGGCTTGTGTCAGCATCACTCCAGTCTCTGCCTCTGATTTAACATGACCGTCTTCCCTCTGTGTTGTGTCTTTACATGACATTCTTTTCCCTGTGCGACTTTCTCTTCTTAAAAGGACACCAGTCATGTTGGATTACGGGTCTACCTCCTCTGGTATGACCTCACCTTAACTCATTACATCTGCAGACTCTTCCCCCGCCAAGGATCACATTCACAGGTGCTGGGTGTTAGGATTTCAATGTCTCTCTTTTGGAGGGGCGGGGGGCACAATTCAATCAATATCAGGAGGTGAAAAGAGACCATGTGAGTGGGATTCTCATCTTCACCCTAATTTCAATTAGGGATGCCCTGCTTCAGCTTGGTTAATATTTTGGGAACTTTTGAAGGACCCTGTTTGAGAAAGAGCACCACTGCCAAGCAACCAACTGAAAACCACTTATCTATAGTCTGCCCCTTCCTAAAAAGAAGAAGGCAAACACATCAGTCAACTGGCTTTGAATATGCTTTTGCTTAAGGCTTTATAACTGGCTTTTCTTCTACATGCCCTTATCTTATTCAGCTTGGACAGTCACTGAAGATGGGTGCTGCTCTCAACCGACCACGGAGAATAGAGTGAGTAACATCGGTCCGGCCATTCTCTCCATCCCTGTGAGTCCCCTTGAATTGCCATATGTGCAATGCGTGTGTGGTCTGGTCTCGTTGGGGGCTCTGGGTCAACTATTCTGCCCCTTATGCTTTCTGGTGTGCTTGGAACCAACAGCATCCTTTAATCAAAGGCCGTGGTGGCATGATGAGAGGATTACTATCAGTGTCTGCCTCCCTAAGGATCAGGGAATGTTGTGGCCGAAGTTTTCCCATCTGCATAACCGGACTCTTTACATGTTGATGAAAAATCTAAGAGGGGTAGCACTTACCTTCTCAGCTTGCTCTGTGCTCTGCTGGCTTCAGGAAAGAGTAGAGATGAGTCCCACAGAAATTCTTTGGCTGTCTCACTGAAGTGAAAATGTAGGGTGCTGTGACTTCAAATGCACTGCTATTTGGCCCTTTGCTTCACTGCAGAATGAACAACAATGATGTTCCGCTGAACCCCAGTTAACAGACGTTGTAGGAAGGACTCAGCAGTTTTTTGAGAATGAAGCTGTTTTACTCAAGTGTAACGAGCCAAAAAATAAAATCTCGTTTTCATGCAGCACGAGTACAGGCCATTGCCTGGGCCATGTGAGATCCTTTTCTATTTTATTGTGGGTTTGGAAGGTATTCACTCAGCCTTATGGGCACACATGTGAAAGGAACATTCTGGCTTAGGACTGAACTGAAATGAAGATCAGGGACAGAGTTTTGCCAACTAATTATAGACAGAATATTCAAATACCGAGTTTGCAAAGTGCCTGATTCCTAATGATCCTGCCCCCAAAACCCCCTTCCCTCCTTCCACACACGAGAAAGGGTTTAGAAATGACCATCAACTCAGAGTAAATTCTTTTACAAAGTGAATATTTATTTGATTTGCTTATGTACAAAAAGTAAACTCCAACTGAACATAAAACCAAATAAAATCTCTTTTGGCCGCACTGACTTTAATTACCCATTATCCTAGAGTCACAATTAATCCTACAAACAATAGATGGTACCACAATGTTACATTTGTTATACAGAAAGGATTCGGCTATTTTAAGAATGTTAAATAGAGAAAAAGAGATCATAAAGCAACCTGCTGTGTCAAAGGACTCGGAGATCATCACTCCATTAAAAGAAATCATCGAAACAGCAAATCTCCAATCAAAAATATAGTTAAGCGCCTGGATGCACTTCTACTTGGTTGACCCAGCATAAGAGGCCCAGGTACTTTGTAATCGTGTCGCATTTTAATTTTCCCAGAGCACACGGTGTGTGAAACAAATACCCCTGAGTTGTGGGGTCCCTAAACTGTGAGTTCCCAGCAGGATTTTACAAAGTTGCCATTATTTTCATAGAAGAGTCTGGTAGCAGGGAGTCATTTTGAATTGAACATGGAACTGGTGTGTTGGGATCAACTCATGATATCTTTGCTGACTTTATGGCAAATCGGACACACCCTGGGTAGGAAATGTAGCCAATTGATAATATGACACACCTGAAAGATTTCCTTAATAAGCTGAATCATGTAGTTTTACCCTTTTTGCTAAACTTAGCTATTAAAAGGCTTAGAAAGAAACTCAACATCTTTATGTAAGCAAGTCCCTCCAGCGATCTATGTACATGTTTGTTTTAAACCAGTTGGCTCCTTGGGCCAATTTCTTTGCCTAGTCCCTGCACACACAATTCTCTAGGAAGCAGGCGACGGTTTCATCAGAGTGACTGAGGCCAGAGATTGACTTGGTCTGACCTCTAAATATCTTGTGCAGATTTTTAAGAATAACATGAGAAAAAGAACATACTTTTAAAAATTCAGAATCTGTAGTTTGTAAAACTACTATCATTTTCGTATGAGCTCAGTGCTGACCTTTTCAGATCAATCGTAAATAATAAATTTTCCCACGGGAAGTATTTCTAGTGGAAGAGGGAAAAGCAGGAACTAAAGCTGTAGCTTCGGCACCATGACTATCAGCCGCTTTGGGCTTGGCTCTGTTGGGGGTGGTAATACTGCGCGCGAGAGCATCTGAAGATACACCTTAGTTCACGTAGACAGGGTGTATGATGT